TAGCTGTTGAGCACTATCTAGCCAATGATAAACTGATTACCAAATTCGATTGGCTCGATAAACTGGTGAGAGCGCTCAAAGTTAACTCGTAAAAAAAGATGTGGAGCATTCTTATATTAGTATTAGTGTTAAATAAATCCAATTTCAGATATTATGACCAACGATTTGATGATCAGTTTTTTTTACACATATGTAAAAAATCAATTAGCATGTATTAAATCGCGCGGTAATCATTGTTGATTTCAGCTGAAAAGGTTATCATACGTCGGCCAAACAATCAATAAGAAAATTTATCACCTCACAAAAATTAATTATCGGAATAAAGAATGACCTTTTCATTAGAGACTCATTGCATTATTTATGACTTCGTATCAACGTACAGTGATAAACCGCCCAAATTTGAGACCACTGTACTACCTGAGCGAAATAGTATATTAATATAACTACAGAAATTTGCACATACTAACACTCCTCTTCCTCAACCTCAAACAGCCGACAGCATGAACAACATATATTTTTTCCTCGTTTTGTTAATCGCATCTACTTTTCTGATGACTACAACGGTCACAGCTGTTCCTGCCCTAGTAAAGCGAGATTGCTCAAGTGGGTAATTAATAAATGTACAAGTAAAAGACTTTGTTTCAAGCGTTTTTATGGATAAAGTCTATCCTAACAAACAACACTCAACTTTTTTGACGATTAGGCTTCACCATTAGTTATCCAGCTGGCGGTGAAACATTAAAGTATGGTAGTAATCAAAACGTCACCGTCCAAATCGGCTCATCTGGAGTTTATGTGATCACAACCGTCTCCATATACGATAGTGATTATAATTTTGCTAGTTCATTATTTGGAGACGAAGCACCAGTGGGTGGCAAAAGCGAGGTTACCGTATCGTTTGATTTAAACGGCAACTTTTCGCCTGGAGAATATCATTACAAAGTAGAGGGATACTATACTCCTACATCAGCTTGCTATACGTTCAGTAAATCCTTTAAAGTAGCATTGTAAATGAAGATGAACAAATTTTGATCTGTACATTTTTTTCTTAACATATAATAATTTAAAATTTTTATTACATCCTTGTTACTGTATGAAATTAAACGTTATTACGTAGCCGCTATTTAACGGGAGAATGTCTTAACATAGTTTTGCTACACAAAGATGCGTTTGTTACAGACAAACGCATTATGGAAGAATATCAACAACTTACAACTATTAGCACAGCACTATGTATCACCAAACCTTACAGAATTTATTGATATTAATATACACTGATAATAAATAGCAATTGGCACAATTGCTAGTAAACCGAACATTACAGAAACGACTGTTTCGTTCGACGTAAGTCTTTCACAGTATGTAAAGACTAATACAGAAAGTCCATGCCAACCTTTTACGGTAACAGCCTTTCATTCAACAAAAATCAAACATCTATTAAATCGCACAAAAGTTCATAATGTCGGCTCTCGAGTAAAAATCGAAGACGCTGTGGAACTGCATAACAATATTATATGTGAATTGCAACATGCGACGTTTGTTATTCCGAAAAATACCACCTCCAACGACACCAACACTGCAGTCTCTCCTCCGTCGTCTCGCCGGGCCACTATTGTCCGAAGCATCGCAGAACAGTCACCCCCACCAAAAAAACAAAACTCGTCAATTCTTCCACCACCCTCTCAAGTAGCACCGCGTCGGAAACTGAGTCAAGCGGCTCCATGCAAATTGAGGACATCAATCCAAATGAAGACGGTTTTAGGGACGATTTACATAATATAAATGCGGTTTTTAGGGACCCCAATTTACATTCTAAAAGGTTATGTTACGAAAGCACTGTTATGCGCGCCAATGTTACTAATGTATATGATACATGTCAGTTCAAAATAGACAAACTATTTCATTTTGCCAGAACACTAAACATAATACGGTATAGTCTATATACTTCATGCTGGCATGCATATATTAGTGGCTTACTTGCCTCCTTTCAACATCACGTTTATTAACCACACGCTAAAATCTTCGAGTCTTCGAATATCAATGAAAGTATGAACTATCGAACATATAACGCATTGTTGGATAACGAAGACACTCAGGTGTGTAGACTATTATGTAACTCAAACGGCAAGTTTGTACCCACTCTACGAACTAGTACCGAATGATGGTACCTCGTCTCTCGTAGCTAAGAGACACTTTTATCACATATTGTCATCTGATGACTATTGATGGCTATTTCTTGTACATATGCTGCATAATCAATATCAATTTCTGTGAAGAAATTGATATAGTTAATCTCACTCAGGGAAACTTATGAACTATGCTGAATTACTATTAAACATTGCCTTAGTGCTGACAATACGATTTGCCATTTCAATGCCTCCCAGAAATACCGTTATGGCATTAAACGCGCAAGTATTATAAGCCGTACTATATGGAGTACGTACTTACTGTCATTTGGTTGAGATAATTATATATATGATTTAGTAAAGGCTGTATAGCTTGCGCAGCAGGTCTCTTGCCAATCTAGTTTATATGTAAAATTTGGGTGCAGAAGTTCTTTATCTATCGTAGTTATCGGTATTACTGTGTTACGTATTACACGGAGTACTTTACATGTGCGAGATCGTATTGCAGCGTTAAGCGATCGATTCTCCCAAAATATGTCCCAAGGTCAATTACCAAACAGCATGTATGAGTGGTTGGCTAAGAATATCCGGGAAGGTTTTATCAAACACTATTCGGAAGATGACATCGTAGATCGTACACTTCTCGGTCATGGTGGATACAAGGCCA